TCCTATGCTGCGATTATTAAAGCAGCTAGTTTACCCACGTTTAGACAATTTTAGTGCATTCCGATTGTCGAAAACCAAAGAACGGTATGAATGAAAAGAATAGCGGAATATCAATTCGCCTCAACTTGAAGAACATCAGCTCACTGACTTGTTTCATCTCGAATCAAGTAGCGGCGTCATCCTAATTGTTCAGAAATTATCTATATTCGTTAATGAACCAGGAGTTAGTCCGTAAGACTGTCGCAACTCATTTGAAACGTAAAAGTATTTAAATACCATTGTAGGCCCCTTGAAGAGCGGTTTAGTTAAATAATCTTTTTCCATTGGTTGATATTCTTTTCTCACAGCATTACGGTACAAGTCAATGGCTCCTTCTTTGGAAAACACCGAGGAACAAATTAACTTCTACAGGCTTTGTCACGTTGTCACTGATGTACTAACCGAAGGCATGCGGGAAATCTTTAAAATAGAATTTGACAAACGCCATAAGGATACCACGGGAGAGTAGAGAGATACACCGAAAAAGGGAATGGAATTTTGGAACGTTAAATCCCGATGAAACAGAATTAGAACCGCCCATCTCTTGAAAACTATGCTTTAATTATATCGCATGCTTAAAATCGGCGCATAAAGTAACATACTCTGTTACGTCTCCGGTAAATTTGGGCATCTGAGCCTTTTTCATCCTAAAACCACAGGCGCCAGTTGTAGCATCGGAGGTGGTTTGAATGCTATCATTTACTTCATTCCCAGAAACAAAGGACGTGATTTAATGGTTTGAGGTGACATTAATCCAAATAATTATTAATTTTTATCAAACCCATTTAGCTCCCAAGGACAATAACCGTGTAACCTCACCCTATAAAATGCCTACATTACTCAACCAACAGATAATGAGAATACTCAAAATACAAGTGCATCCATCATTCAATTCTCAAATTCAAATGAATTTAAGAGAAAGTAAACCAACACGGCTAAATTGGACAGTCGCCCATCTAAGTGCACTTACCTATAACAGATTTCATGCATTAGATGTCTCGTACCCCTTCTGGGAGGAATATACACGAACGACTCCAAGCAGAAGTTCAACCTCGTCACATGTCCAACTTAAATTTGCATCTTTGATAGCGTTTTGTTGTCATCGATCGAGGCAGGAAACAGGATTAAAACCATCCAATCAAGAATGCTTGCGGATTTATTGACAGGTGTAAACGATTGGGAATCCGGATAAACTTTTACTGTGAACGCCTACGAATCCGATCACTCTTATGATCGATGGATTCGTTACATTTAGGAATCCAAATCTCCTTTAATTTAGTGTGGTCCCATAGGCGGCGAAGCAGGGGAGGCACTGCCCCGCCACGTTTTGGTCCCGATAAGATCGTTAACGCAGCATAAAAAAGTTGCAAAATATTCAATCTCGTGATCTTTTCATAAATCCCTGTATCAGCATCGCGAGAGATGTTGTAAAACATTTTTTTACTACTCCAGCCTGTGTTCCAGAAGGCTATCAACTGCAGCAATTTTTCATTTAATTAGACAGCGCGTCTAGGAAATGAGACAGGATTTAATTTTTTCTGAGGGAACGACATCGAACGCTAAGCTGAAAGATTTAAGACTATGCCGGAAAAAAATGAAAGCAAGTCACAGATCGATTATAGACACACTCGAAACTGTAAAGATTGCAAAGACGTTTGCTTGTACCACCGAACGACGCAAAGAGCATTTTGGAAAGTTTTGTGTCATGCGCATGGCTAGGTGTGAGATGACCGTTACTGCGAACTTCTTGAGATGTTTATAGCTGTATGATGTTCTTGTTTTTCTTTTCAGTTAAAATGACGAAACAATAAAGCAGGTGAAAGAGAACAACGCAAAAAGGATTTTTTTTTCGCATTTTAATCATAAAAAATGACCAGCGGATAGCAGATTCTAAGCGAGGTCTAATTAATAACCTAACTGCACTACCAAACTAATACAGATATATCAATGCCTTTTATAGCATATTTATACAGTAACAGGAGAACCGTCAGAAACAAATGTCGTAAAGATTATACATTTTTGTGAAACTTTTCTACAGAAATAATAAATTGTTACGTCTTCATCTAGCAGGTTTGTAAGCAATAATCCTACACTTTAAGATAATTGATGCGGAATGATAATACAGTAAAACCCGCATGCAAGAACACCAATTTTCGGGGTTCAGGCTGATTGGGTTCTTATATATCAGGTATTTTAGGTGAAATCAGCCTGAAAGTGTTCTCAAGTGTTCTTAATTTTTCACTTCTAAAAAAATGTAGGGGATTTACTAATTATACAGTGTTGTACATTTGCTCTTCACAGCAAGTGAAATTACTAGCATTTATACAGAGATCTTAGTGCAATACCACAGTAAAGCTACAGGCACTGTTTGTTCTATTAAACTGAAAAGGGAAGAGTTTTTATAGATAAGAAGAATTTTCAATTTTCAGGCTGAATGCGTTCTTGTATATATGCTCCTGTTTTACCAAATTTCAGCCTGGGTGTTCTTAATCAACATGTTCTTGTATGCGGGTTTTTACTGTAGTCATTTCCATCTTTTATGAGATTCAGTCATAATGTTTCCAGTTAAGGAAAGTCAGTAAAGTTGCGATTGGTTTCTAGAATGTTATTTTCATCTCCTATAAATCCTGTACTACATAAAAACAATTTTTAAAAATTCTAACCTGTTAGCGAACTATACGATCATAAGATAAAACTTAACAGTTGTAAACTTTTCGACCGGCATCCAGCTAGTTTTCTTTATCAAAAATTTATTTCACGAAGTAAGTGTCGAGCACGAATCACCACAACTAAGAGAACGCAAGTGGAAAGACCATCTGCTAAAAACAAAGAAAAAACTTTAAAAAAATGACTTATTTTCTCAATATTATTTCATTCGATGTCGAAGACCACAACTTGAATTCAGTTTCTTGGAAATGTAACAGAGTCCTGTTACGATTTTTCGTACCAGTTTAAATCAACGCGTTTGGCAACATACGCCCCAGCTTTCAGAATGCTTTTTTAAAGGATAGCGGCGGGTGAAGCCGTAATATTCATGTTTCAAAGCTTTGAATTGATTTGTAGATTTCTTTTTATTGCTGTCCAGCACACGCCCTTTGAATCAGTGTGATATCGAGCCCCGTGGGCCCAAATAAAATTCATAATTTTTAGGACTTGGTGGTCATACGATAAAATACTTATGGATCGAGTTTTGTCAGGCCGAAAGGAAAAACATTTGGGTCTTCGTCATAGAGAACGGACCTCGCCATTTTCTCCGCTTCGGCCTCTTACTCCGTCAATAAGTACAAATATTCGCCATTTTGAATCGATCACTGCCTTCATCTAGACCGCGACGAGAGAAACCGTTTCAACATTTTGATGGATTTTTGTTAGGATATGCCCGGGGACTGGTATCACATGTAAAATTTTTCTTACTACTATTCTCAGTTCTTCTTCTTCTCACTATTTTTCTTACTTATATTCTTCCAACAAAGCCATGCAAAACAGACAGGAATTAAGTACCCAACTACATGCTTTAAAAATTGATCAGCAGTTTCCTTCCCAGTATCAATTATATGGCTGCCCAGTAAAGACTGCCCCGGCCAAAAGACAAATAGTTGCAAAAATTCAAGAAAAACTCCAGTAAAAAAACTGCGGCCGCGAAATGACGCGATCATTACCTTTCCCAGGAGATTTGTAATTTACCCTTTCCCGGGGTTTTGTCGAATAATAATACTGATAGACACAGTATGAAGAGACAAAAACAATAAGGCAAATTCCAAGCAGATGAAAAAGACCCCATCTCGGATTGAGCAAGACACCAACTACAAGCCAACTGAAATGGTAAGCTACCAAGTTTGCACACATCAAATAAAAGACTAGCTTTACCTCTTTCTTTTCGAGGTCATGAAATGTACGAAAACTGTAACGACATATGATAACAAAGAATGTGATACTGTGAACGACAATAAATGGTACTATTACTTCGACATATACAGGAACATATTCTTTTTTATAAAGATGAACTGTTATCACCTTAGCTATGTATACAACGGTTAATATGAGAAACGAAAAAATACAAACGAAATCCATGGTCTTCTGCACAACAATTATCTGATTCTCATGATTTTGCCATGAAAGGATGGCTAAAAATGGTCCACCCAGTACTGAAAAGAAGATGGAGCAGACTAACACCACCACAATCCGACTTCCGTGTCCCGTAGCAATAATATCTGACTCGTGTCCTTCCATAACACACTCAGCAGAATTCAGTGGTGGGTCCCTTACAGTTGGTTTGATGGCCAAATCCTCAAGCTATGCAACAGAACAAAGGGATTAATTACCCTAAACGCCAGTATAGAGTAAAAGCCGCAACTCAGTTTTTCAACTTAAATTTTGGAAAAAAAAACTGTTTGAAAAGGAATCAAAAGAAATCATAAGTCTTTCTTTTAATTACTTCATCGACCTTACCATCAACCTTAAACTTTCGTAAAGTTACTAAGATTAAAAAAAATGATCTGCAATGCGTACATGTGTGGCTTACGAAATTATGCTACTTTTAGTGTCTGGTGTCTTACTGAGTTTCTTTTAGAAGAGCTAACATCTGATTACCACTAGATAGCTTTCAATATTGTTTCTGTTCATCAGTAAAACAGGATAAGTAGCATACAATAGTCCTGAGATGCTCATTTCAAGCTGAGGGTTAATGGCCAAACTATGTCATGGAGGTCTCATTTTGACAACAAAGGTTACACGTGTAACATGGGGGTTTTAGGAACTAAGAAAAACGTCAGTATCATCTCCCATAGTGGCTTGAGAGATTCAGTCATGATTCTGATTAAGGCGGGGGTAAACCTGAAAAAATGCCCATTTTTCACTCATTTTTCACAGCTAGGACTTACTTCAAAACTTAGGCAAACTATATATCCCTGGAAAGCTTATGACTTGAAGATCATGAAAAAAAATATTTTAGACTCAACATGTCAATTGTAATAGGATACCACTCATTTAATTGAGCTCCCTGCTGGGTTCTACCAGGGGTTACTTAAGAAAAGATAACTCCTTCTGGAATTAATGAAAAATAACGTTTTTAGTATCAATTCAAAGAAGACATGTTGCTTACTGTTATAAGCAGAGGGATTTCTAATATGTTGAAAACATTTTAAATGATGATCAATTAAATTTGACATGGAAAATCAGAGGGGTGTTTCACTTCATAACTTTAAGTACATACATCATATGGAAAATTGCTCTGCTTATAACACAAAACTTATTAAAAGGAACAAATGCTGAAAATTTCAGATCAATTGGATAAATTGTTGTCAAGATATCTTTTCTAGAAGACAAAATTATTGCGTAATGATAAAATGGCCTTTAAACTTACAGATAGCAATCAAACTTAATTTTTTACAATATGTAACCACTATAGTGGCCCAAGTGTCCATATTTTGTCCACAGGAGTATCTAAAAGTAATTTAAAAACATCCTGGTTCATAAGTAACTCCTTCAGCTTCTCGAAGGGCTTCCTCTCGACGAGTCCTCAGAAGTCGCTCCCCTTGACGCCGTCTCTTTTCCTTCTGCATAACCTGCAAATCGGACTTAGCCAATCTTTTACTGTCTTTTGCATGTGTTGCCACTCTTGTACAAACACCACCAGGGATACAAAGCCTCTCCATGATTTTTAGCCTACTAGAAGCTCCATTATGGTAGTGGCAGACTGCTGATGCTGCAGCACACCGAATTACTTTTGCACCATGGTGTTTATGTTTAGGACACCGTACCCACACCATTGAGTTAACACACTCATTGGGATTTTGTGTTGTTCCCAACACACACCTCTCTAGCAATTTCGAGTCACTTAGAGTCATAAAAGTGGGTTTCAAGACATCAAGAAAGACATCTGGCAAACAGTTACCACTACTGTATGTAGATGTTCCTGTTGCTTTGTCTTGCTTCCATTTACACCAAGAGGATTCCCCTGGTGGACAAAATCGATGCTGTTTGGCTGGGTCATTTGACTCAACATTGTGATGGAGTATTGCAATAATGTTTTTTTTCATTCCATAAACTGCAACCTCCACCTCCCTTCTTCCTGGATTGGATTTCCTGATGGTATTTTGCCGAATTGCAAGTCCATAATCTTTCTGGAACTTCTTTATTCTTGTGTCAGACAGTCTCCCTATACCACCAATAGGTTTGCCATCAGCTAGTTTCCCTTTAGTTCTAGCCTTCAGGTTCAACAGATGTTTGCCCATCCTTTTTTGGACATGTCCCACGCAGTCTAATTTCTCAACTTTGATTTCACCATAAATATTTTCCACAGAATTAAAGGCCTTGCTATCACCATCGCTCACCATCCATCTGTACCTCAGGTTGTGACGTTCCAATGACCTTTCCCACAAGACTACAGCTCCTTCACACTCCATTGCTGGTGAGCTACCAGCAAAGTTTATGTCACACTCATGTTCCAACAACCACTCCTCAAATTCTTCCTCATTTACACATTTTGCTTTATTTAAAGCACATTTCTGACATGCCTTTGAAAGGACATGGTAGTCCAAAACTTCACCAGTGTCCACTGAAATGACAAAAACCACTCCAGTTAATGAGGTAAACCCTCGTTTGGCCCAAGTGCCATCAAAACTTACAACAGCATCCAGAGTATCATCCAGATCTTTTTCTGGGTTTTCTTCCAAAATCTGCTGCCGAAGTCTCTCTCCAGCTTTTCTCATGTCATCCTTTGCTTCATCCTCAAGAGCTTCCAGGATGTTGTCCACTTGTTTGTAGTAGGCAGGCTTAGAAAGGCAAGGCATGTTCATTATACCACAGAATGTGGCAAGGCCTTCATAACCACAGCCACTCTCTATAGCATGGTAGACAACTCGGCGGTTAATGTCATAGGATTTCCCTCGCTGGGTCACACCACTGGATGTTGGAAGCGGACTGGATTCCTCACAGGAACTGCACTGAAGGGAAAACTGTGACATCAGCCCTGCTCTTGCACTTTTATCTTCCTCAAGAGTTAAGGTGCCTAAAGACAAATCAAGTGAAAATTGTAACATAAATCGGGCAATTTTATTATAAGCAAAGTACAGACCTCAAGTCAGAAATACACATACTGTGGTTTTTCCCCATAATTTTTTGTTTACAGTTTATATGCACAATATATACCTCAAAATCTTTCTCTTAACCAATCCAAGATTTAATAGATAAATCAGCATATTTAGCAGGGGAAACTGGAACTAAGGGTCGAAATGATATGGGAAATACGTCATAATCGAGAACAGAGAAAGACATAGATTTCAAAAAATTTCTCACCTTTCTCACACACGTGTGCCTTAGAGAGGGCCGTGGATAAATTTTTCACATTTATTAATCTATATTCCTCGCTTTCCTCGGTATTGAAGGTATACTCTTCATCAGTGCTGTCTAAAAGAAGCTCCTCGTCGGCATATTTCATTTTCTTTCTTGAGGAACCAACGGTTTCTTTAGAGTCCGAGTCGGAGAGCTGATTTTCATCCCGCGAAGTGCTCGGAGTTGAGGCGGCGATTTCGTAAACATCAGGAGCTGTTTCTTCAGACTCTTCTTTCTGTTTTCGCCTTCCAGAAAAATATCTCTTTCTTTTCTTCCTGTAGACAGATCTACTTTTCTCTCCGACCATTTTCGATATAACTTCTCCTTTGATTATAACTTTTCCTTTGATTGCTCCGAGTACACTGAGTGTCACAGTCGACCAAAACTGCCTCTAAATCTATCCCATAATGGTTTTGACCCTAGAAAACCCTTCAGATAAGACTAAATGAAGTATCTCTCGATAAATCCTGCCCGTTTGGAGCTTGGTTGCCAGAAAAACACGTTATAAACAACTGAAAAATTAAAAAATGCTCTTCTCGTTGCCATGGTAACCACGCCATTAGTCAGAGCGGGAATTTTAAAATCGCTCAAAAAGGCAAAAATAGTGAAAATAAGTGGAAAATTATTTTTCCATAGCAAAGTTTAATACCCAAAGCTGCAAATTCCGAGGAAAACAAAAAACTCAGTTTTGGAGCAAATTTCAGGTTTACCCCCGCCTTAATAGGATACCACTCATTTAATTGAGCTCCCTGCTGGGTTCTACCAGGGGTTACTTAAGAAAAGATAACTCCTTCTGGAATTAATGAAAAATAACGTTTTTAGTATCAATTCAAAGAAGACATGTTGCTTACTGTTATAAGCAGAGGGATTTCTAATATGTTGAAAACATTTTAAATGATGATCAATTAAATTTGACATGGAAAATCAGAGGGGTGTTTCACTTCATAACTTTAAGTACATACATCATATGGAAAATTGCTCTGCTTATAACACAAAACTTATTAAAAGGAACAAATGCTGAAAATTTCAGATCAATTGGATAAATTGTTGTCAAGATATCTTTTCTAGAAGACAAAATTATTGCGTAATGATAAAATGGCCTTTAAACTTACAGATAGCAATCAAACTTAATTTTTTACAATATGTAACCACTATAGTGGCCCAAGTGTCCATATTTTGTCCACAGGAGTATCTAAAAGTAATTTAAAAACATCCTGGTTCATAAGTAACTCCTTCAGCTTCTCGAAGGGCTTCCTCTCGACGAGTCCTCAGAAGTCGCTCCCCTTGACGCCGTCTCTTTTCCTTCTGCATAACCTGCAAATCGGACTTAGCCAATCTTTTACTGTCTTTTGCATGTGTTGCCACTCTTGTACAAACACCACCAGGGATACAAAGCCTCTCCATGATTTTTAGCCTACTAGAAGCTCCATTATGGTAGTGGCAGACTGCTGATGCTGCAGCACACCGAATTACTTTTGCACCATGGTGTTTATGTTTAGGACACCGTACCCACACCATTGAGTTAACACACTCATTGGGATTTTGTGTTGTTCCCAACACACACCTCTCTAGCAATTTCGAGTCACTTAGAGTCATAAAAGTGGGTTTCAAGACATCAAGAAAGACATCTGGCAAACAGTTACCACTACTGTATGTAGATGTTCCTGTTGCTTTGTCTTGCTTCCATTTACACCAAGAGGATTCCCCTGGTGGACAAAATCGATGCTGTTTGGCTGGGTCATTTGACTCAACATTGTGATGGAGTATTGCAATAATGTTTTTTTTCATTCCATAAACTGCAACCTCCACCTCCCTTCTTCCTGGATTGGATTTCCTGATGGTATTTTGCCGAATTGCAAGTCCATAATCTTTCTGGAACTTCTTTATTCTTGTGTCAGACAGTCTCCCTATACCACCAATAGGTTTGCCATCAGCTAGTTTCCCTTTAGTTCTAGCCTTCAGGTTCAACAGATGTTTGCCCATCCTTTTTTGGACATGTCCCACGCAGTCTAATTTCTCAACTTTGATTTCACCATAAATATTTTCCACAGAATTAAAGGCCTTGCTATCACCATCGCTCACCATCCATCTGTACCTCAGGTTGTGACGTTCCAATGACCTTTCCCACAAGACTACAGCTCCTTCACACTCCATTGCTGGTGAGCTACCAGCAAAGTTTATGTCACACTCATGTTCCAACAACCACTCCTCAAATTCTTCCTCATTTACACATTTTGCTTTATTTAAAGCACATTTCTGACATGCCTTTGAAAGGACATGGTAGTCCAAAACTTCACCAGTGTCCACTGAAATGACAAAAACCACTCCAGTTAATGAGGTAAACCCTCGTTTGGCCCAAGTGCCATCAAAACTTACAACAGCATCCAGAGTATCATCCAGATCTTTTTCTGGGTTTTCTTCCAAAATCTGCTGCCGAAGTCTCTCTCCAGCTTTTCTCATGTCATCCTTTGCTTCATCCTCAAGAGCTTCCAGGATGTTGTCCACTTGTTTGTAGTAGGCAGGCTTAGAAAGGCAAGGCATGTTCATTATACCACAGAATGTGGCAAGGCCTTCATAACCACAGCCACTCTCTATAGCATGGTAGACAACTCGGCGGTTAATGTCATAGGATTTCCCTCGCTGGGTCACACCACTGGATGTTGGAAGCGGACTGGATTCCTCACAGGAACTGCACTGAAGGGAAAACTGTGACATCAGCCCTGCTCTTGCACTTTTATCTTCCTCAAGAGTTAAGGTGCCTAAAGACAAATCAAGTGAAAATTGTAACATAAATCGGGCAATTCTATTATAAGCAAAGTACAGACCTCAAGTCAGAAATACACATACTGTGGTTTTTCCCCATAATTTTTTGTTTACAGTTTATATGCACAATATATACCTCAAAATCTTTCTCTTAACCAATCCAAGATTTAATAGATAAATCAGCATATTTAGCAGGGGAAACTGGAACTAAGGGTCGAAATGATATGGGAAATACGTCATAATCGAGAACAGAGAAAGACATAGATTTCAAAAAATTTCTCACCTTTCTCACACACGTGTGCCTTAGAGAGGGCCGTGGATAAATTTTTCACATTTATTAATCTATATTCCTCGCTTTCCTCGGTATTGAAGGTATACTCTTCATCAGTGCTGTCTAAAAGAAGCTCCTCGTCGGCATATTTCATTTTCTTTCTTGAGGAACCAACGGTTTCTTTAGAGTCCGAGTCGGAGAGCTGATTTTCATCCCGCGAAGTGCTCGGAGTTGAGGCGGCGATTTCGTAAACATCAGGAGCTGTTTCTTCAGACTCTTCTTTCTGTTTTCGCCTTCCAGAAAAATATCTCTTTCTTTTCTTCCTGTAGACAGATCTACTTTTCTCTCCGACCATTTTCGATATAACTTCTCCTTTGATTATAACTTTTCCTTTGATTGCTCCGAGTACACTGAGTGTCACAGTCGACCAAAACTGCCTCTAAATCTATCCCATAATGGTTTTGACCCTAGAAAACCCTTCAGATAAGACCAAATGAAGTATCTCTCGATAAATCCTGCCCGTTTGGAGCTTGGTTGCCAGAAAAACACGTTATAAACAACTGAAAAATTAAAAAATGCTCTTCTCGTTGCCATGGTAACCACGCCATTAGTCAGAGCGGGAATTTTAAAATCGCTCAAAAAGGCAAAAATAGTGAAAATAAGTGGAAAATTATTTTTCCATAGCAAAGTTTAATACCCAAAGCTGCAAATTCCGAGGAAAACAAAAAACTCAGTTTTGGAGCAAATTTCAGGTTTACCCCCGCCGTCTTGAAAATAATTCGTCTAAGCTTATTCATCCTTTAATGAATAAATAGACATGTTAAAAAGCAGAGAAAAACTTAATTTGCCAGTTTACAGGTACTCAGACTTGACATTGCAAAGGCCAAATGCAAAAACAACAACTCAAGATTTTTGTACTTGAGTTTTACACAAAGCAAACAACTCACCAAGGTAGCCAGCAATTTAGGGCTTCTAACTCTTCTCGCAATGACAGCCGTTTCCTGTCACCTTGTTTTTGAAATATTGTTTCCTGTGCTCTCAACTGACAAATTACTTGAACATCCTTGAATCCTGGGCCATGTTCCCTATACAGAAACTTCACCGAAGGCGATTATTTAGCCTGGTTCTCTGACGATACAAGGCGCCCTCGTGATTTTGACGGATATTTGAGAAACTGGATTCAGACCGTCTGAGATTTAGGCTAATATCGACTCAAAGTTACGAAATATTCATCAATTCTGTGGGTTTCTGTATATTTAAGGCAACAAAATCTGGATGTGCTGAGAAATGCTTAGAAGCCGTGGATCTCGCAGAGATGTGCATGATACGTGGGAATCTTCTGGGCAATAACTCGCTGCAAACAAGGTAAATCGTACTTGATGGGCTATGGATGCACGCCAAACTAAATGAAAGGTACAGTACATCTTATGTTGTCCTTTAGTTGCACCAACAAGCTTCTTCTCGTATATAGTCTAAATCATAAATCAGACTAAATTAAATAAAACGAATTTGTAACCATTCCTTTTATAACGTGATTCATGAACAAAAAATTCCTTCAAATCTAACTTTTGTCTTTATAGGTAAAACTAAATTTGGACACACTCATGAAGCTGCTGACCAGATGTTTAACAAGTAAGAATCAGAGTTTCATTTTCATTGAATTCAGTTGAGAGGAAAACTCTCTTTGAGAATAGTTACATTGCAGAACCATCTTATTAATGCTGCCGATTTCAGTCAAAGTTTCACTGCTGGGATGCTTGATTGCCAGCTTCAAATACTAAATGTTGTTGTTAATTGTTAGTCATATTAAATTGTGTCTTACAGGCTTTCTGAATTTTTGGTAAAGAACTACAAACTGCAAGGCAGTTAGGTCAGTCATAAGGCAGCATTAAAATAAAAACTATCAGTAGTTCAATTGGGTACTAGCATTGAAGGTCCACACTTTCACACTTTTATTTTATTTTCTTACATATCTACATGGCATTCCTTTGACCTGCAAATAGTGGGTCAAATTTTCTTAACTTAATATAATTACACTGGAAGTAAAAATGAAAATGAAGAAATACAACATAAAAAGACAAAAAGATACACAAGAAAAGAAAAAAAAGAAAATGAAAGATTTTCATTGCAAAGGACTGCATAAAGGAATCTTTAGTCTCTAGAAAATTGGAAAACCCTTTTTGCTTGTTTGTTTGGTTTTTTTTTGAAAGATTTCTTTGACAAATTTGTTTATTCGTTATTTTTATATTCAATTTGCAATGCAGCCACTTCAAGGCAGTACAAAAATTTATAATGAAATGAGATGAGATATTCATAATCAGAGGAAAGGTTTGACAATTGTTTTAAGGTAATTGATTGATCAAATTACTGGTATCTGTCTTGAATTTGAATGGTGATAACATAACAGACACAAAAGTAAATTCCAAAATAATTTAATGTTATGAAAACTTAACTAAGCTATTTTGACACTTTGTTAAAATTTTATTTCACAGGCGTCACACCACGTGGTGCCTGATTGATAGCTCGCTTTCTTTCTTCCCTTTATGTCCAAAATTTCGAAAAGGCTTACGGGAATTAAGTTTAGTTAATTGGAATGTTGGTCGGACAATAGCGATGAGCAGCGACTATCTTGCTTTTCGATCCTTCGACGATGATGTAAACGAACTCGAGTTTCTTCAGGCAAGTACACAGCTCTTGCCAAACCAAGTGACAGGGGCTTAGAAGTGCCGTAAAAAGCTACTTTACTGTTCCTTGTTTTATCGACGAACCAACATTTTGCATGAACGGACGAAAAAGTGATCAGAAAAAGCCAACACGACACTGTAAACGTTGCCTCAAATTGACCCAATAGGCCATTTTACAGGTGTGTACTTAGTTGCCAAGCCTTTGATTCAGAGTGAGGCTAAAGATGACCTTGTTGTGATAGAGACCTCTATCTAGTTAGCATGATAACAAAGTGATTTACATTTGAAAGGCAGCAAGGTTTGTATCATAACAAGGTCATCCCTAGCCTCACTCCCGTTCAAAGGCTTGGCAACCAAGCACACAACTGTAAAATGGACTATTCTTTCTCCTACACTAAATGCCTGAACTTGACAAAAGCGATGTCTAAAAGCTACTCAGATACGCAGGTCATGGACTGGAAATGCTCGCTATGCTCCTTGCCATTTAGTAATGGGGATTGTTCTTTTAATACGGAGCCAGATTTTGATCGCGAAATTGGGAAGGAATCATCTTTTAATACATCAATGGATGAAAATCACACTAATGGTGGATATGCAAATGACGACGCTACAATCCTGGAACAAAGAAAAGATAATCCCAGCGGTGCATTCATTTACGTAAATTTG